CAGGGCTTGGGGCAGAACAGAGGCAGCAGATGGAGCGCAGGAGCCGGGTAGGGTGCCTGCCCCAGAACCGCCCACCCTCCCCCCGAGCACGCACGGCACCCCCCCACCTTTGGTCAACCGTCCCCAGAAGCCACGGTGCTCCCCAATCCACCCCCACCCCCCTGCAAGTTTTCGTCAGGGGTATATAGTAAAAGTCATGGACAGGTCATGGGCTGTGAATTTTTGTTTACTGCCCATGCCCTGTCCATGACTGTTACTAAAAATATCCATGGCTAAAACATAGCCTTAATTATAACACGGTCCTGTGGGTAAAGAGACTGATACAGGACCAGATGTGTCTGGCCAAAAAAGATTGGCCCTCATCCTATTGGACATAGCCCCGGCAACTATGACCATGTGTTTGTTTGCTCCAAGCTTGCTTATGGCAACATATCTAGAATGACGCCACACACCCTGAAAAAGCTCCAAAAGGTATGGCAGCATACATCAATCTGAAGCTCTATTTTCTATACTGGTGTCTTACTTAATACACAATCCCTTGCAAAGTCTCTGTCCCCCTATTCAAAGCTCTCCACAGAGTTTGCCCTAGCAACTACAGCGCTCACCCCTCACTTTGTGATCATGGCCTCCCACAATAACTATATTTCACTGGAATGATGAAATGATTGACCAGTATTGGAAGGTTCGTGACCGCGGGTGACAGCTTTCACAGGTGCTAGACCTAGGCTATGGAATTCACTCTTGAAAGAAATAAGAATGTGTACAGGCCACACCACATTCAGAACTCAATGCCAATCTCATTTGACTTTGCTTTCCCTGAATAAGTTATTTTGATGCAAAAACAGAAGCAAAGAGAAAAACTCTAGAAACTAATCAAGCCAAGCTACAGCATGAGCTGGGGGAAAAAAAAAAAAAAAAAGAGACTGACTCACATCCACTCTGAATTCTCCTGCAGCACTAAGGATTCACAACAAAATGTATTTGGAGGATGTGGATGTTGACCTTTGGCTGTCCCTCAGTTTGTATTAACACCAGAACTCTTAGCTACTCCCTTGTGTATAAGAGGTGAAAATCTTGTCAAAATAAGAGGTTGCTCACAGAGCAGTATTTATGGTGCCTTCACTGCCAGGGACGAATGTCATTGCATTGTGGATTTTACGTCCCTTGCTTAATAAGAAACGAAGAATGGAAACTTAGGCTCTTCCTGTTGGAAGAGATTTTGCAGACACCTATGCTCAGCTGTTTGGAGCTGGAATATTTTTGATGCTGAAGCCCAGATCTGAGAAATACTTGGGAACAAAGAAATCTAGCAGCAAAGACACAATCAAATGGCTGGAAGCTGAAGCTAGACAAATTCAGATGGAATAAGGTGTAAATTTTTGACAGTGATGGTAATTAACCAGTGGAACAATTTACCAAGCATCGTGGTGGATTCTTCATCAGTGACCATTTTTAAATGAATATCGGATGTTTTTCTAAAAGACCTGCTCTAGGAATTATTTTGGGGAATTCAATGGCCTGTGTTATACAGAAGGCCAGACTAGATGATTGCAATGGTCCCTTCTGGTCTTGGAATCTCTGAGAGTGAGATGAACTCAGCACTGACTATTTTGATGCCATAGGGGAAGTATGATGGATCCCATGAGTACAGGCTCCCCAAAGAAGGCAAGGAAGCATGGGTTTGGGATTCCGTTGAGCCGCTTTGATACTGAAGCACTTGGCTCCGAAGGATTTTTTCCTGATGGAGGCTGTCTTGGTAGCAAGAAAAGTAAAAGTGCATGATGCTTCAGCACCAACTGTCTCAGCATTGTTTTGTTATTTGCTCTGAGTGCTCTTTCGTCAAGTGTCCTAGAGTTCCACCTTGTTTTCCGTCTCATTCAGTTTCTATAGTGGACTGCTAAGAGGTAAAGATTAACGTCCCCGTTGCTTTCCATCAGAGGAGTAAGTCAACAAGGCTGTTTGTTCACCACAGCTCTAGAAGCCGTCTGGCTTTCAGCATCCTCTAGAAAAGCAAACTACTCCAATATAAAGGTGTCAATGAGCTGGACCATGGATGATTACTGTGCCACTGACAAGCTACATGAGCAGACGCACACAGACAGAATAGTGTAATGGAACAAAATGCACCCAAAATCCACCACCTAGTGCACATATAGCAATAGAGAAATTTTTACTGCCTGGCCTTCATAGCTGCAAAAATCACACCTGGCAGAGCTATTCTACATAATGAACCAGCTTATCAACCTTTTCTAGACTCACTGAATTCATACCTTTCAGAGCTTAGAATAAAACATTAAACTTTCATGAGCATATCCGACTGCTTTGAGACCATTTACCAAAAAATGACTTTAAACTAACTCTCAGCTGTTTGACTGTGACTGCTTTAAACTAAGCTGTTTGAATCTTCCTGAAGACTTTTTTTCATTGGTCATGTAGAAGGAGGATTTACAAGAACATTGTTTTATGAAAAAAAGCATACAACTGTGTGCCCTCATAACCAAGATATTCACATCTCTGGACCTGTCCACATTACAAGCATCGTATCAAAAGAAAAGGGATTCAAATTTCCTCATAATAAACAAGTCCATTAACCAGATACTATATATAAGCTGGCAAAAACCATTGCAGTGCTTCTTCACCACAGTATTAAAGTTTTTTACTATGTTCATTTACCCCCTAAATAGGTCAAAATTAACTAGGTCATCAGGTGTTAATATGAAAGATTAATGTTTCTTGGACCCTAAAAGAGACAGTATATGCATAAAACAGCCTACTGAGGAGCAATCATGCTGCCCAGCAAAGTAATAAAACATTGGCGATTTCAAATTACATCTTAAATTTTTTGCTACTGCTTACTGTAGACTTCTGAGATGAATTCAAATGAAAAATGCAGTGCATATTTCAATCATCATCAAGCAGAAGCTATTCTGCTGCTAATGACTTAGCCAAGAAAAGCATTTTTAATAATCCAGGAAGTGGCAATAGTTATGCTACTCTTGAGAGATTTGCTGGAGGTTTTTCCTTTTTCATGAAAACTCAAAGCATGAGCAGCTAAAAACTTATTTTAGCTACCCCCCCCCATTATTTTAATACTGTAATGTATATTACATGGATTACTGCAAAGATATGCATTTATAAAAGGTCTTAATTCTAAACATGGAAAAATTTACAAGACAAATCAATTCTGCACCGATTTTCTGTCACCTAAAAATTTGCAGCTAAGACTTGGATCACAAAGGTCTACATGTCCTCTCCAAAGGAAGATTATTTTTGGTCTCTGATTCCTTATGTGCTTCTTTGACCCTGAAAAGGATCAATCACATCACAATACTATAGAGACTAGGGGTTGTCACACTGTCTGGAGTGGCTCACGAGCAAGAATATGAACCTCAGGGCAGACTGTTAACCCCCAAATGGTTAAGAGTTGTACACTTAGATTTCACCAAACAAGTAACAAATGTGAACTTCTCAGGCACCATACAGCCTTAACGTGGAGTCACAAACAGTCCCCTCGGGCACTGCACTCTATCTTGCCACTCAGGCAAGCTTGACTGTGATAGATGGTCACTTTACACCAAAGATGACAAAATATTCACATTACTCCCAGTCCCAAAGGACAAGTCCCTTCAAGACAATTTGCACCTTACATCTCACACCAAAGATAATGCTTGTAGCCAGTCCTACAGTATAAGGATTTATTAACTAGGAAAAAAAGAAAAGTTTTTTTTACAAGGTTAAAGCAGGTAAGCATACACATACAAATGAGTTACAGTCAGGTTTAGGAAGGTAATAGCAATTTCTACAGTAAGCAGACTCTGTATATCGTCTAGGGCTAACCCAGACAAACCAGGACACTCCTTGCATATGCTTGATGTTCATGTTATAGCTGGACAACTCTTGGTATTAGCTGAGCTGCTGGTTTTTTCCTTTTAAAAGCCTAAATTAACCTTGCTGCTATGACTGGGCATCTGAGCTATCCAAGGTAACAGGGACCTCTCTTTCGCTTCTTGTGTTCCATTTTACTCAGAGAAATCTTCCATGATAGTATAATAGCTAATTCCTAAGCAGAAGCACTCATCTACCACCAACTGTATAGCTGATGGAGTCTTGGATACAAGACGCGCTACACAAATCACTTGGGTGGAGGACAGTGGGCTAACCAATTAAACTAATGCACAGCAGGCTAGCGGGATGCCGCACAAGCAGCATCTCCAGCCTGCAGAAGCCAGAGCTGATACTGATTTCTTTCCCCAGTCCCTTTATCCAAAGCTCCCTGAAACTTCATTGCAGTTTAACTTCTTTCTCTACAGCACAAGGATTCACTAGAGTTTCTGCTGTAATCAGCCTTATTTACTTCTCCTAAAGGTATACTGATGTCAGTGTGTTGTGTTGTATTGCAGAGGTAGCTGCAGACTAGTACGCATGCTGGAGATTGTCTAGGCCTCAAATTTACTCTTATCTTTTAAATCCAGGCTATTTAGACAGGGTAGCAACGCTGCTCCACCAAATAAGACAGAACTGCAGCCTGTGATCCAACCAGGCTCTTATATGTAATTTCAGAGACAATCAAACAGATTCAGTGGTGGTGTTTCCATTTGCTCTGTAGAAGAAGCTATGGGATCATTTGGTCTGGTGTAGAAAAGAGAAGAATCTTAACTCACTTGTGACAGTACTACTATGAGGAAAGTTCCCAAATGATTTCAAGAAGTATCCACTTCATAGATGGAAGACTAAGATATAGGGACAAATTCAGCACTAGACTCCAGTTACATCAGTAGAGTTGCACTACCTCCCACATGGATTTAATTTGTCTAATTATATCAATTCTGCTATTACACCAATGAAACCAGACTGACTTCAGGCTTAATTGAGGGTTGCACAGATGTGATGGAGAAAAGCTCATCCAATGAGGGAGGTGGTGGGAATCCTTAATAGTTCAATTTATGAATACATCTGAAGGCACATTTGTGAATCAACTGAGTACTATACAAATAAGAACATTGGTTAAAAATGTAAAAAAAATTTATTAACGAGTGCTTGGATCTAAACTATTTTCTGTTTAATGTAAAAAAGGAAACATTGCATTTGACTGACACTATTTGTGCAAGTGTAGGTTTACACCATGAAAAGATCTGAATTCAATATCAATATCTGTTTAATATACTAGAAAAAGGAATTGGTTCATCTTTAATATACTAAACATGCACACTCTTATATGTAAACAATACATACATTTTAAAAGTGTAGTCAACTTTTAAAGTGATCATTCTGATTTGTTTAAATCCAGTCAAATTGAACTGCTGATTTGCACATTTTACAGGATGTTAATTTTTTAAGTTATACAAATTAACTTGCAATCTGGAAATGAATCTGGGTTTTTTATACTTTTACAAGAGTTTGATACTCTAACAATCTTTACAAGCATTTTAATTACAGAATACAACCACTATACATCTTAAAATATCCATACACTTCAAAGATGCAGGTGAAGCAAAATAAGACAGACAAATGAAATTCCAACACTTATGCCATTGTAGTTTAACTGTTTTGTAGACTCCTGATCCTTTTAAGAGATTAAGAAAAATATTTTAAGAAGCTGAGCAGTTACATACATTACAAAGATGCAAAAAGCCATAAAAATAACTCCTGCAGTTCTTCAGTGAGGCACACTACTGCAGATACTGGAAACTGATTTTATATCTCTATTTACTATGTGAAAAGATTAGGCAATATTTTCTATACTTTAATGGCACAAAGTGGAGAAGTTTCCACACATTCTTAGTGAATTTTTTTTGTATAAACAGTAGTTGCAGCATATAGTTGCATTACTCCCAAGTAAAAACACTATCACGTGATTTAGGCTAAAGTTTTAGGTTGTTTACAAAACAAGGAGGGGATTTTATAAAGCTAATACGAAATGAAATATTTTTGATTTTTTTTTTTTAAATCTAATTAAATATTTAAATAAATTGTTCTCTGCCGTGTTATAAACTAGTATTGTGTGAATGCTGGCGAACCAGAGTATAAAATTTACTAGACTAGCAAAAGTCAATCTAGTTTTCACTACTTGGCCAAGTACAAGTTAAATAGCATGTACAGTGGAAAAAAAGTTAGTGGCCTTTATTATTAGCAACACTGTACATTTTAAACATATGGTTAAATTTATAAGTGTCATGTTTATCTGTACTCTGTAGTATAGCTGGAAGTGCAGATAAGAATGCTATTACTGTATAAAGGAATCAAAAAGTGTCATCCCAAGGATTTAAAACATTTTCAATTTGTAAGTATTTCTTCTTGTTTTAAGACAAATTCCCATTTTGCCTATATGGCATTTTCCCCTCCCCCCACTCTTAATGCAACTCAAGCAAACACCCTATAAATATGAACCCAAAGATTCGTCTATAAATCTGAAACATACAGTGAAAGGTAGACATTTCTATTTGAGTTGTGAAATGTCATTCCACAGTGTTGTAAAAAAAGCAGACTGGACAGTTTATAGTAGTTTGTGTGTAGTAGTATGGTTCTGAAGCTAGCCTTCCATATGTGCATCTTGAACTGTTGAAGATCACCACCGACCCAGCGTAGGATTCAAATGAGGCACCATACTATGGTGAGAGCTGCCACAATGCCATTCAGTATTGCCATACTATAGCCCATGTGGAAGGAATGCCCGGTCAGTCTCCTAGAGAGAGAAACAGAATGCTCATTAATACAACAAAAACAGTAAGAATCAGAACTCACAAGGAAATTACCCAAGGTATATTTAGAACCATAAAGGCCTTAAAGCAATAACTATTTAAGAGGATTGGAGAGTGACATCTAGGTCTACAATTCAAGACAGGCTTAGGATAGTGCGTGATTACGCACTATCTGATGGCTTTTCAGGGGGTTGGGACTATCAGAAGCAAATTAGATTCTGTTGGGCTCCTAGTGAATTTCTGCCCATATTCACAAAAACCTCATAACAAGCATCCTTGTTTACCTCTCTGCTCGGACTACAGAGAACTGATTGGGCATGAAGACTGAAATACACCTAATTTTAAGAAGCAAGTATCCTGGGTGTGTGTGTTTGTTTTTTTTTGCTGGGGTTTTTTTGGGGGGTGGGGGGAGGGGTAGGGATGAGACGCTTTGTTAACTAAAAAGTGTCCCTAAGCAATAACAGAAGACAAAACTGGGATAAGCAGAATTTTATCTACATTGAAACACATTCTAGGATTTCCAAGAAGCATCAGCAGATTAAGAATTCACCAAAACCATCTTTGCCAAAGAACAGCTTATACATCGTTGGCAGTATTTTTCAGCCTATCATACAAGTCCCATCTAAAGCTGAACCAAAGGAGAAGAAGAAAATTTGCATTAAACCAGGTCACCAAATATTGACAAAAACAGAAGTCTATAAATCCCTACCCCCACCACCCACTTTTCTGGCCAGCAGTAGTACGCTTATTACTACAAACCGGTAGCTCTGCAACCACTGGATCTTTCTAATTTACAAAGTACAGTTAATGCAAGCATTGTATAATATAACCAGAAATATATTCTGCCACAAAAGTCTAAGCTTTCATTTAAAATACACCTCTACCCTGATATAACGCGACCCGATATAACATGGGTTCGCATACAACGTGGTAAAGCAGGCCTCCCCCACAAGGGTCTGGGAGGCAGGAGCTGTGGGGGGGGGCACTTTTGGGGGCCCTGCAGGCCCAGAGTGGTTTGGGTGATTAGCAGGGGGCCAGGAGCAGCCTGCTCCACTTCCCTGGCCGAGTCACTTGGGGGAGGGGTTTGGGGGAAGGGATCCCTCCAGCACTCACCAGCAGCGGCAGAAGCGGAGCAGCCCGGCCCCAGCCTGCTCCACTCCGCCAGCTCCCAACCATGGCGCACTGCTTCCCGCCACCGGTGAGTGCGGGGGGCTTCCTTTCCCCAACCTCCCCACGCTCATCGGCAGCGGGAAGCGGAGTGCTGAGGCAGGGAGCTGGTGGAGTGGAGCGGGCTGGGGCCACATTGCTCCGCATCCCGCCGCTGCCAGTGAGTGCCTGTCAGGGGGCAGGGGTGTGTGAATAGGGGTCAGGACAGTCAGGGGACAGGGAGCAGGGGGGTTTGGTACGGGGTGGGGTCCTGGGGGCGGGGGGGGGGGTCGTCTCTGGAGGGTGAGGTCAGAGGACAAGGAGCGGGGGGGGCCAAAGCAAGTTCGATATAATGCAGTTTCACATATAACGCGGTAAGATTTGTCGTCTCCCACGGACTGTGTTATATCGGGGTAGAGGTGTATGCTGTTATCTTTTATGGTTCTGAAGCTAGCCTTCCATATGTAAAGCTGTGCAGTGCTAACTGAGTCTACAAACTGAAACAGAAACTTCAAGGTATGAATGGACCCTATTTGTCTCAATGTAACACTAACTCAAAAACTTGATAATGTAAAGTGACCATGATTTAACAGATGATCATTTTACCAGTTACATCCAGCTAACCTGTATATTCCTCACTGTGGGACTCAATGAAAGGTAATAGTCAGTAGAGCTGTTTGTAGTTAAAGGCTGCTGGGATGGAAATTAGTGGTTTACCATCAACCATGCTCACTCTGGCTGGTGCAACAGCTGAGAGTGTTTGATAACAACCATGCTCTCTCCCTAAAACCCCACTCATTACAGCCACTTCTTATCCCTTACTGGGTGCCAGCAAATGCAAAAGCTCCCTCCCAGGGTGCACAAGCCTTTATTTAGCTTTTCCTCTGGCAGACAATATGCAGTATGAGTTATCAAGACAATTCTATGGCACAATAAAAATTTAAAAATTTGAGCAGAGAATAAATTGAAACATTCCAAAATAAGCGATTCAGCAACACAAGGAATATAACCCACATGGTATTATTCTTTTCCACAGATAGTTAAGAACTCTGAATTTTGAAGCAGAAAACAAGCAGCCTCAGTGCAGAATTTAGGTCCAGCATGCTAGAGAGTAGCATGGAATAATTAAAATAGAAAACAATTTATTTTAGAGACTTAGAATATACTTAAGCATTTAGAAGTGTCAGGTTAGTACTTTGCAAAAACTCTAGTACAACACAAAGTGACAGTTCTATGTTAACTGCAGAAAATGTGTGGCTGTGTCAGGGTCAAATCTAAGCAAAGTATCCAAATTATAATACATCTCAGAACTAATTACTTTCCTTTTCTAATTGAACTAAGTCAAAGATCTACCTGCAACTGATCATATTTTCTGAAGATTTTATTTCAGGAAAACTTGATTTTGTCTCCTTAACAGGTTAACCTTGCCAAGCGCACTGCAAAAATTAAACAAAGCCTGAAGAGTCTATCAAATGCTTTCCAAAGTTCCTCTATCGTGCAATACCAAAACAAAAGATGCAAGGATGATAAATTATGACTATGTTAAAAGAATGCTGAAGTTGCACTGTAACTGAAAGGCATGAATTAAGGTTGCATGCACAGGTTTAATAATGTCCACCCCTGCACTTGCATTACAATACAGTCTACTTACACATTTTGTGTGGCACACACTGAGCAAAGCTCTGCAGCTCATCTCAGTAACTGCAATTTATTTATAAATGTAGTTATATTTCAGAGGTTAGCTGCACCTCTGTCAGCTTTCTGTTCTTTCAGAGCACCTGTCTCAGGTCTTGAGCCTCTTGCCCTTACCTGCCTCAGGATGGAATCTTACAATTCTACTCAGACTGTCATTTGGGTGCACTATCCTTGTACAACAACCCCTCATTACCAGGCAGGTCCACCTGTTTGAGCACCTACGTGATTCTTTGGGAATCTGTGACCAGCGATACTGACCATGAGCATTCTTAACACAAAGTGTTTTTACTTACCAGTTGAAACATCTCATTAGAGAGACAACAAGAATAAATACAGGCCAGAGAGACTGACTAGTCCAGTGGTTAGGGCACTCAACTGGGAGGCTCAGGTTCCAGTCCCTGCTCCAATTACCAGTTTGTTTGTTTTTTAAATTAACAGTGGAATAGCTCCAATAGGAGACACTGAGACCCACCCCAACCATACAACCTCGAATTACCCAATGGCCCAGTGATTAAGGTACTCACCTAGGAAGACCTGGATTTAAGTCCCTGCTCCAAATTAGGCAGGGAGATCTGAACGCAGGTCTCCCACATCCTGGGCCAGTGCCCTAACCACTGGGCTACTGGCTATAAGGGAACTGGAACAACCACTACAACCTCCTGTTCTTCTTGAGAAAGAGCTTTTCTGGCTCAGGCGTTTACCTCCAGAAGAGGGTTCACGGCTATGAATTCCAAGCTGTTAAGTGCCTCCCTGAAGCCCAGAGTTAGGCGCTTAACTCCCTTTCAGGCAGGTGACTTAGGCCCCATCCCTCTCTTTGGCACTTCCTACTGCCTAGCTTAAGCAGCTCCACACTTGCATAGTGGTTTTAGTCAATCTTTCTTCGATGCCTAACTCCCCATGTGTTGTATCGAGCCTGGGCACCCAACTCTAGGCTGTGAGTTCCATAAGCTGGCAGGACAACTAAGCAGCCTATGAATTTGTCCTTAAGTTTTCATCAGAAAGTTCCTACCTCTCAGTCTCAAAGATGAATTGAATGCAAGCCCATACTATATAGTAGCGTCTTCTTATATTTACAAACAGTGCCCCTGCTACTGCTCACGGCTTGCCCATTCTGCGGTGAAAACAGACCACAGAGACCTTCCTGATGCTTATGAAGTTCCAGCTGCTGCAGTTAAAAAACAAACAAAAAATCCAATCGGAATAATTTTCACTCTCCTACTGAAGGACACCCCAAATGAAGACATAGATAGAAGGTAGCACTGACGGCCCCTCCCCAAGCAGCTGCTGGGAAGTCTCAAATGTAGACACCTACTAGTGAACGAATATTGGAAACTGAGCCCTATGTGGGGACCACAAACAGCACCCTAATACAAGTTCCAGCATGCTCTATTTGCAAGCAACTTGGGATGTTGAGGGGTAAGCATGGCTTTTCCCTGGACAAAGGAGGTTGTAGCCAATTAATTCACTGTATCACTCACATATTATCTTATATGTAGTCAATGTGTGATGAACAGATACAAGTAAAATAGGACTATGGGAGTAGAAGATAGACAATTAGGTATATAAGTAAAGCAAGGCTGTAATGCAAAGCCAACAGGCTAAAGCCTGTATGATTTCAGCTTAGCCACACTAGGCCTCAGGCTTAAGGAGGCTTGACATGAGTGGGTGACCTAAGACTAACCCTATGCCAATAAAACCACATGATTACTGTAAAGGATGGACCAATAGGTGATGTTACGGAAAATAAGTCACAATGTACCAGTCCACGCTGCAAGACACCTGATTGTAACATTATGGAAAGTTCTGTTCTGACCACAGGTTACTCTGGAAACAGGCTGACATAAGCAGGGCACCTCAGAATTTATGGGGTGTAGAAGTACAGATAAGGAAAAGGTAGGCTGGAACTGTCATGCATATGCATAAGGAGTTAGGCATGGTCAGAACAAGATAAGAGATTCCCTGGTTGGGCTAAAGTGGGAAGACCCCAGCAGGAACCACCCCTCGATCAATGACAACCTGTTGAGAGACCCACTAGACTAATATCTTTGGGTATGTGAGTATGCTTACGACATTGGCTATTGCTTGTGCTCTCTCCACTTGTGTAGGTGTGTGCGCGTGTCTCTGTGTAACTTAAAATGCAAATGATTTTCTTTTATTTGTAACAATGTTTGCCGTCACTATTTGCTCTTTGTGTGCGCCACAGTATCTCCCAGTCTAAGAGAACCGTAAAAGTTAACTTTCACCCTATTAATCTGTAGCACCACAGGAGCTGAGCTAACTCCCTAGGGACACTATAGTTTAACCCAGGACTACCCAGTCAAATTTTAAATAGAGGCTACAGGCCCTTAAACCTATTTAGTCCTCCGATATTTAGGCATCTGGCAAATTTTTCTATCCCCTTGTATAAGCGTGTGCACAGACACAGGCAAGGGAGTGGACAGGTAAGCAAATGTGTCTATGTAAGACAGTGACATTGACAGACAAGGTAGAGAAGTGGGTGAAGAGGAAGATCTATTTTCGTGGGAAGAGACACAGCATATATGCTGGATGGCATCATGGAAGTTAAGCCGAGGATACTGTATTAATGACTCCAAAACACCTACATCCAAATACTTGGCAGAGCCCTCACCTTTGCTGGTGTTGGCGGACAGAAACTTCAGTGGTGGAGCCTTGATTCACTGCAGTGAAGCGAGTGCCGTTATCACACATGCAGGCTGAGGTCAGATGAAATAAAAAAGTGCATGTCCAGATGCCCCAAGCCCTATTGCTGCTACTTTCACAAGCTTCCCTCTATCCCAATTAAGTCTCCTCCTATGCCCTGGAGATAAACTAGAGAGATTAAAGCATAAAACCCACTGGATGCAAGAACAGTGATTTTGGGAAGGTTGTACTCTTCTCCCCTTCAAATTTTTGGAAGGTCAGGGTCACTTCTTAGGTTGTCCCTTCTCTTCTTCTCCCCCTACAAGCATAGCAGTGGGACCCCACTGACACACATCCTGGAAATATGTCTAACATGCAGGTGCTCAACTCCCTTCTCTGTCTGAGACAAGGCAGCACAGAGGAAAAAGTGCTGAGTCTGTGACGGTGCTCTGGTCCCCATGTTGTCCATATGGTGACTGAAACACAACAAGAAGAGGAATGCTGAACTTCTAGCAGGACTTCCATGAATGGGTAACTGCATTTTTGAGCCATGTTAATACAACAGTAGCTCATCACAAGCAAGAAATGACAATTTAAAAGTGGATGGACTAGAGTACATGCTGCTTCTTACAATGCAAAAGGAGATACATTACAAAAGCTTTTCATCACATTTAAGTATTTAAATCAAAAGATGAGAACAAGTATGAAAACATAGCATCAATAATTTTTAGTTTTGACATATTTTTGCATCAGTCCAAACTTTCTAAGACATCTTCCATTGTGTAATAAGCAATGCTGCATTATTGTTGAACAGTGCCAAATTCAAGAAGGTGTATCAATTACACTTGGCACTGTCCAACTGATCTAATTTCCCATGTGACACCATATGGATTGCCAATCTGGTCTACACACTTGAATATCAGGGAAAAATACGAGACAAAAAAGCTCTGAGGTAATACAAAATCAAGTTTTTCCTCTATTCAATAAAGATTTCATAACTAGTGGTAGAAATAATAGATATTTAAAGTTAAAAGATTAAAGCAGATATTAAGCCAAATTCATATTGAACAGAAATACCTGAGATAGTGAACATATGGAAAAGTGCTTACTTGGCTCACATTTTCTACAATCAATTAACTTTTCTATGTATCTATTATTTCACTCTGCAGGCAATTCCCCAGTGCAATTAAACATCATTTTGAGGACATCACACTTTAAGGATGGCATCTTCAGCAACTTGAACACAATACTCTTTTCAGATATAGAAAATTAACAACAACATTTTCCCATATGTGGAACCATTTTCCCAAGCTGCTAATTCTGTGCTATGTTTGCAAAAAAAGGTTAGGGGTAAAATTTTAAAAAGGGACTCCGTGACTTAGTAGTGTAAGTCCCAGTGACTTTCAGTGAAGTTTAGGAGCATAGGTCACTTATGAAAATGGGATTTAGGAAGTTTGAAAAATTTACCTTAAAAACTTTTTTCAAGGTGAAGTCTTTCCTTGCAGCATCTATCCTTATCCCATTACAATCTGTAAGACAATATTTTGCCACTGTCATCTAAATGTATCCATGACATTCCTATAACAGTCCTTCAATCAGATCATCAAAAATCATCTTAATTCAGGAGCAGTCTCTGTCACAGACACCCAGGAAATGGCAAAGATCAAACATCCCATTAGCTTTTCCCACTGCAATAGGTAAAGTTTCATGTAATGTGGCATATTTGATCTTGAAAAGCCAGAACATTTGCAACAATCTTGAAATGAGTACAAATCTTTTCCATTTTACTAATTAATTCTTCTACTGTAAAATTAAACATGGTCATGACTCCCGTTTTCTACCACTTCCTTAACTTTAGGCATAGGTGCATCAGACAGATTTGTACATCTGAGACTGAAAAATCACTAGACACCTACCACTCATTTGTAGGGTGGAAACTATTAGTCTACAGTTAGAATGAGAACCAAACCTCTGCAAATTCAACAAGGAAATCAAATGCCCAGCCTACCTTCCAGAAGTTACTAGATTCTAGTAAATCAAGCCCTCTCACACTTCATAACTCCACCAACTCACTTCTAGCCACTCCCCTTATCTTCTAGGCAGTTGTGTAACTTTAACACAGCAAAACGATTGTCTCAGCCTCCTTTTAATCTCTTAGAACACTTACAGTTTTCATGCGCATAGATTAAAACTAGAGCCCAATGATTCTGATATCAAAGAGATTTCAAACAGGGTATGTTCACATACATACTTTAGTATCAGAAATTCAAAAAGCAGAAACATTACCAGGCTGTCTTTTCAGGGAAAAGTTTTCCCAATTTCGTGTACAAACCTGACCAAAGCTAACTCAACTCCAAAAAGAATAGACACAGACTAGCACAATTCTTCATATTTAAGGACGACTGTGTTAAATAAGGTATTGATAAGATCTCTTAATAGTGTCAGGCACACCTTATCTTTTAAAGAACTAAGATGGGCAACTGCATGAACTACAGATGATGGGCCTCATGGAAACCAAGAGCATCCTTATCAAAAACCAGATGAGACTGTGAAAGCCCAGGACTAGCACATTACAAAGATTCAGAAGACTAGTCTGGAGCTGATCTAACTTGGATGTCAAAGCTCACAAAAGCGATTACCTGAAGGAACGAATACAACAAAGTAATGGTTAATGTTAAAGTAGTTCCTTGTCACATCTATTTGGGAGTATAACTTTTGGTCTTGATCATAGCTTTTGTTTACACACACAGAATCCATGCAAGGTAAGAATACAAGCAGCTTCTCATCTCTTCAATCAGAACTCTAGTTGCTTCAAATTGTGCATATGATCCTCAAAGTCCATGGCCTCCCAGCACAAGATAACAAGACAACTAATTTAAACTTAACATGCAAGCGTTAGGTTTCAGAGAAAACCCCAGTTAGTGGATTCGTATCATGATGTACTGAGAAATCAAGAAAACATATTCCAAAAAGTGAAATCAGAATCCATACCAATGCTATATTAGTCTTGTAGAAACAGCATACAATCTACCAAGCAATGAATTTCTCCTCCTGAAGGGGACAGCCTATGCTTAGTAATCAAGCTGAATTGCAGAAGTTCTTGCCTAATTTATTCTTTAGGGTTTTTTTTTTTTTTAAAAAAACATTTCCCTCATACTAGATATGTAAACTAGACCAGCGGTTCTCAAACTGTGGGTCAGAACCCCAAAGTGAGTCATGACCCCATTTTAACAGGGTCGCGAGGGCTGGCTTAGACTTGCTGGGGCCAGGGCCAAAGCTGAAGCCCATGCCCCACCGCCTGGGGCCAAATCCAAAGCCTGAGGGGGCTTCCACCCTGGGCGGTGGGACTCAGGTTACAGACACTCTGCCTGGGGATGAAGCCCTTGGGCTTCAGCTTTGGCCTGGAGTGGTGGGGGTTGGGCTTTGGCCTCCCGCTCCCCCCAGGGCAGCGGGGCTCAGGCTTTGGTGCCCCCTCCTGGGGTTATGTAGTAATTTGTTGTCAGAAGGGGGTCACAGTGCAATGCACTTTGAGAACCCCTGAACTAGACTGTAGTTTACAAGGACTTTTCTAAAAAAAAATGGGGGTTGGGGCAGAAACCTTGTAGGGTTGGTTCTTTTCAGTTTACAAAGAGTTTTTCCTTGGACATAAGTAAAATGTCCACAAATCATCTTTAATTTCTTTTCCTACTACTACCACCACTACCAACATTCTTGATTAAAAGAGTATGGCTCTAGTGTCTTGTTGATTGCTTTGGCCTTTTTATTCTTGCACTTTCATCTTTAGCTTCATTATTTGTCCTTTCAATCATATTTCAGCCAAGCCGAGCTTAAGAGTTCTCACATACAGAAGATGTAAAACAAAATAGCAATCTTATTTTTTAAAAAACAAAACCCATCATTTCTGTCACCTCCTGTGTCTAAAGACTTCAAAGCTTTATAAAACATTTTTTCATGGTATTAAACTAGATACCATTTGTTTCTTTGATTTACCCTGGATCTCTTGAGGTTAATCTACCACAACTACTTCCCTTTTGTTTTCAAGGTTTGTTTTTAACCAATACTGCAGTGTTCATAGAAGGCAGGTGATAGTAAAAAACGGGATTACTTGTTTGATTAGTTCTTGGGTTTCAGAAATATATTTTATATCAGCAGCAAATAGAGAAATCCCGAATCCAAGCAGAGGCAAGGGGGGGAGACAGGGTTACGTGCCACTACCCCTCCCTCATTTCTGCAAGCACAGAGCTGCACAGCCGAAAGAGGCTGTGTCTGGGCTCCACTGACTCTGCAGCTGAACGCCACATCCTGGGTCCTAGTGCCAGTCATCATCCCCTTCTGTGTGCTGGGAGCCTTCCTGTTTTCTGTGCAAAAGTGAATGCCTGTGATGGGGTTGGGTTATGGCAGGGTGGGAGGGGATAAGAGGCAGTGGGGATGGAACAGGGCAGGGCGATGGAGAAGAAAAGGGAATAGGGGAATCATGGGCCGGGGGAGGAGTGGTAGCCTGGCATGTGGCATCCCCTTGGCAGCAGCTGGGGCTCTCCCATTAATCAGGAGCATCAAACCCTCACCCTGACAAGCCCCACCCCACTACACCTGGACCCTTCTGACAAGACCCCCCCCACTGATCTCCAACCAGCAGCACCTGGACCGCCACCCCATTAAGCTCCCCTCCCCCGACACCTGGACCCCCTATGAGTCCCCCACATGACCCCCTGCTAAGCCCCATCTCCCTACACCCAGACCCCTCCATGCTGAGACCCAGCCACCTTCACCTGGATCCCCTGGTGAGTCCCATTGTCCCTGCACGCAGAATACTCCAACGAGCCCCTGTGCATCCAGATCTCCCACTGAGCCACTTGTACCCAGATTGCCCCACAAAAAAACCTCCCACCCCACACATAGATCCATGCTGCTGGGCTGAGCCTGCCCACCCACACCTGGTGCAAAGCCCCGGGATGTTTCTGGGGCAGAACCAGCCCTTGCCCTGTGTCAGGGTCAGATGCAGCCTCACTGCCATGTCTCTGTACTGGCGGAAGTGCAGGCTTCAGGGTGATCTCCCACCTCAATGCAGTCAGTGGCCTATGCTCCCCACTGCCATGCTGGAGCCATTTATTTATTGACAAAGAAAATTTGCAGAATTTTAAAATATTGTGTGCATAGTTTTTGGCACAAGATTTTAATTTTTTTGGCAAAGAATTCCCTCAGGAGTAAATCCTGTGTGCAAGCAGCCATAATTCCTCCCAGCATTAATAGTAGCAACTCCAGAACTGCTGGCTCCAAGGAGCAAAAGTCTAAATTTTTCAAAAGCATCTATAAATTTTTCAAAAGCATTTCAGATGCTTCCATTTTCATTACCCCACCTGAGACACCAAGGGCCTGATTTTCCAGATGTGATGAGCACCAATAGTTTCAGTAGACTTTGCTGGAAGTTATGGACATTTAGCACCACTGCAAACAGGGCCTTGTGTGTCTTAAGTCAAACACTCAGAGGCATCCAAGTGTATCAACTAAAAATTTAAGCTTAACTCAGCATGTAAAAAGTTTCTGGTGCTCAAAAATGAACATGTTTTTGTTATAACCACCCCTCTCTTTAGTTCTATTATAATCAGCCATATGACATCTGTTCATTAATTCATAGCTTGGAGAACCCTATTCCATGCAGCGGTGGCGCTCTAGAACTATAAAAGGAACAGTTAATATTGTATTCATTCTCAATTTCACAGTGCTTTAGGAAAGAAACTGTTTTATTCATTTATATGGAATACATGGGCTCAAAGAGTCAATGGTGTTAATATAACCCAGTTACTGTCCAACATTAAACAGTTTTAAACAAGGTTTGGTATAGAGAGACCTCAGCCTGCTTAGTACCATGGCAAACATACCATTAAACATCCTTTTAATCTTTAATAACCGTTCTCTCTGTCTTAAAGCATTTTCAATGTAAAGTATTACAATAAGGCTTTCATTTTAACAACATCCCTTGTTCTTTCCTTTCCTTTTAGTTAGCGAGTTTTTAAGAGGAAAAAACCCCTTGGTTTACAGTCTCTTAGACAGTAATAACTGTCATTTTTGGGGAAAAGAGACGCTAGTTGTGACAGGTTGAAGCTGTCCTCCCTGCTGTTGTTTCCTAAGACTAACATACCAGAGGAAAGAGAAAAGATCAGCAAAGACAGAAAATAAAGCTTGTCTCTGGTGCTGATTCTCACTTGCAACCTCACTGCTGGAAAAACACAGGCTGAGCACACGTCTATCAGCCACTCCGCGAGCTGGCAAACCCATAAGCCTTGGACTTCTAGGGCACTGCTTTTAGGAGTTTTTTCTGGTCACAGGCATACAACAGTGTTGCAAAATATACCATCTTGGCTGACTAAGCCAGGCTCTTTGAGAAAGAAGGGAAAGGAGAGGCATAGGAAAGAAGACATAAGGTAGGGAAGGAAAAGGACATGTGTTGGAAGGAAAGAGACACTCTCACATCCCAGGTGGTGTCTGGGATTCAGCTCGAGCCACCAGAGGTAGTGATGTCATCTGGGGGACTCTCTCTGGCCCAGTCTTGTCAGGACATCTCTTAGGATCAGGATGACAAACGCCTGGGGTCCCAGAAGACGGTGGGGGTGGTGGCCATCACGGTAAAGCTTTTCTCCAAAAAAATCTCTCTTTAAGGACCTGGTAATGGGGTGTCACAAACCTCCTATAAGCACCCCCTTGTTCGACTGCATGTGCCTGCACTTTCTCTCTGCTTTGTGGTGAGTCTTCAACAACCCAGCCCTCCTGCCGAGTCATACACAGTCTGTATGTGAGCTAAAAATCAAACCCCTTCTGTGATACAAGTCCAACCAGGCCTATCTCAAAGCCCTCAGTAATGCCTCTACCTGCAGCCCTATTCCTGGGCTCACTCCTCAGTCAGTGCAGCAGGGCCTATCACAGTACCATGGTCCAAACTGTCTGTTATCCCCTTCTGGGCTCTCTGAATTTGTCCCTGCTCTTCAAGCAGTCCTGGCCCTGGTATGGGGACATGTCCCCCAAGGCTCCCTCCCTGGAGATTCTTCATTTCTCTGGGCCTTTCTGGACCCAGCTCTTCAGCTGGGCCACTAAAAGAGTTCAGTTCCGCTTCTGGGCTGTATCAAAGTCCAGGTCACTTTCACCCAATGGCTAGTGGGGTGAACTCAGGCCCGTCCTCTACTCCAGGTCCCAGCCTAGGGCCCTATAGATAGAAGCCGTCTGTCGTGTCCCTTCAACTAAGCCGCGTTGCTGCCACAGTTCCCTGGGCCACTTCCCTAGCTCATTCTTCACCCTCACCTCAGGGTCTGGGCCTGGCTGAGTCCCAGCAGCCAGCCTGGAACTCCTTCCTATCCCGTCCTCCCATCCCCTATCCCTGCTCTGTCTGAGGTCCTGTAGCTCCCTCAGCCAACCAGGGACACCATCCACACCCCTCCAGCTTTAGCAAGGAACTGATCTCTGCTCTGCACTGCAGCTCCTTTTATATGGGCCTGTTGGGCTGCTCCCTGCAGCCCATTTCTGACTGGCTGCATCCCATGCCACAACTCAGGGCCACTTGGAGGAGACTGGCCTTTTCTGGGGCATGGTGTGGCAGGGCCACGAGGCCTCCAGCAGGGGATCTCAGGGCCTATCCACCCCATCACAGACCCCAAAAGGGAGGGATGGATGGTGGAATCGCGTGTCCTCTCACTGGTTTGTCCACCAGTTAGGCCTAGTTTCTCACATACCAATTTCAGTTCACTGATTTCTGGTCTCATCGTGGTCTTGTTTATTAGGCATAATCTTAACAATCCTTGAATTATATCAGTAGGCCTTTTTGTTTGGACTAATTTAGTCTCTTTTGCACATTATCCCATCAACATTGGTTATAGGTTATTACAAGTTTATAAAACATTACACTTTTTTTGTTTTTACACAGTTGAGCTCATGGTTTGGGTAAATCTGTAGGCCCAATTATTGCAACAAACTTAAAGTACTTATGATTCCTGAAGAAGAGTTCGGAGGAGTAACTAAAGAAGCTGCTTACACCACAAAAGAACCACAAGACTGGGGATTAGGTGCTGGCCCTGTCCTCTAATCAGTCCCCTGAGCCTAGCTGCAAAAAAACGTTTTTTATGCTGTTACAAAACTTTCCAAGATAGAGTCTTACACCCCCCCCCAAAAAAATAAAAAAGTTAAAATCTTGCATCCAAACACCAGATTTCCCAAAATGTGTGAATTAAATCTGAAGTCATTTTTTTCCTGACAAAAAAGTATTTTACAATTACTACTGTATATAATATATACTTTAATCATTTTCTTTTCAGTATATAACGAGAAGTTCCTTAAATTTAGAGACTTTGGACCCAACCATTTTTATCTACACTGAAAAAAACTATTTAAAACAATCATAATGAAGGAGTGATATTTAACAGTATTTTGCTAGGATTAAAAAGTTCTAAAATACACCTTTAAAGAGGTTTTTCCAACCAGGTGCATTTGATTTGGTTACTGAATTTCAAGGTGAATACACCCTGAAGCTCCACAGAGGAGACACTTAACACCCTTCGGGTATGGAAGCTATTTTGTGTGCAAGCACCCACCCTGCTGGCCACATTACAAAATGCATTGCTTTATCCGCCATTTTTTGAAATTGTGACATTTATGTGAATAAAGGTTGTAAAGTTCTCAGTCCAATTTAAAAGAGTAATGTGCCATCAAGATTTTTATTTTTACTTATATAAATAAAAAAATTAAAATATTTATGGTAAGTTGCTCTTTTTTACAGATTACTGTTAGTATCTATAAAATGAATTTAAATATATTTCCAACAATAAATTGTAAAAAAGTTTTAAACAAAACATGCAAATGAAGTTAACTCCATTCTAACTAGCTTAATGTTCCATAGTAACAAGAAAACCAGTTTTAACATTCCTTCCCCCGGTTCTGTATTTAAAAGCATAGATATACTAGTAGCGGACTTTCCATAATGAAAGCAGCAAAACATGTATATTTACCCTTTTAAACAAAAAAGTCAATTAATATATGAAAGGGGAATATACTTAATCAGTAGTATAGTTCATTTCAAAACTGGAAACATTATGACCCAACATGAATACACAAAATATTGTCCCGATATTCTATTATAAGGGCTGCTAATTTTATAAAGGATAAAAGACATGCTATATTAATAAGGTAGTCTTAGTCAGATATTTTAACATTAAAAATGATCAAACATTTGCCTCGCATCCTTTCATGATGCGTACAAAAAAATTAAAAGTGTGTGAGTGGTGTTTAGAGTAGCAGTTAAATAGGTATCTCTGTATTCTTCTGAAAACATGTCTTAACGTTTTCCCCCATTATTGGCAAAAAATTAAACAGTGAAGGAAATTTTTACCTGACAACTTACTTCACTGAAATTTTTTTTAAAAAGTCAATTCACACACACACAAAAAAAATAAATAAAAATGCTGAGACACACCAACTCCAACACTTGTCAATTTCAAAAGAGAAGTTAGAATTGGTTACAGGTAATACACTTGCCATGAAGCTCCTCTGCTAATTTTTGGGGTTTTAGTCATATTTTCCTATTGTAAAATGCATCTTACATATTGCTGCATAAAAGACCCAACTAATAAAAACAGAGAAAGATTATTTTCTATAATTTCATTTGGATAAAACTCAGATTTCAGTTGTAACCGTAGATAAAAGTTTTCAGAAATAAGTGAATTTAAGTTCATTATGTCCATTTAAAGAAAGTCACAACTTAAACATTAAATATTCTAACTTGAAATACCGTATTTCCATATTTAACATAGCATAAACCAGTCTACTTGGTTGTTAGATATTCTTTCTGTATATTAGAGAGTTTCTCTCAAGCAAACTTTCTAATTAAACGATTCAAAGGAATTTTGAAGCTCTTCTTGATTTGCAGCTGTGGCCTCAGCTTCTTGGGTTTAGACAGGATTTATGCACCATCACCATGAATGGGAGTCAGAGGATCAACAATAAAAACCAAGGGAGTACCTCAACTCCTGCCTCAAAGCAGGAAACTGAAGCAAGGCTGGGTATCAGTTTACAGCCCAGTTTTAAAACCTAAGTCTACTAGACATATTATTAAACAGTCAAACAGTTTTGGAAAGATCCAGAATCATTCTAATCTTAATACACTAGTTCTAGATCGGAATTGCTTATTTTATTGCTGCTTAAATTGCTACTAACAAAAATTAGAAATACTAGATAAATTGGACTAGGCAGTAACTGAAGCAACTGTAAAACCTCTCTTTTTAAACTAAGTTCACCACAAGAGAAGTCAGAATCAGAAGTGTCTATTTACTTTGATGTATTTTCAGAGAGGAGCTCAAAGTTGAGATTCAACTGTCTTAAAGTATGTATGTGAAAGGTCACATCATTCCAGTTTTAAAAACCTTTATTTGCAGTAACCAAGTTCATTTCCAAATGCCTATAAACTTATAAAAGTACAACCCAACTTCTTTCAAGTTTATTTTTGACTTAAAAACACAAGCTTAATCACATGAGACTCATAGTCTAGTCATAAAGTCATCTCTCATATTTCAGGTTATGTTTGAGGACTAGCTGGGTGCTACAGTAACACCTCAAATTTTGTCCCAAGTGTAATAACAAAAAATAAATAAAAAGATCCATATATCCACACACACACATAAATAAAATTTAAAAAATGGATATGCAAGAGTCTCTTAAAATACTTAAAAATGTCTAATAATGTGTGGTTAGTTTGGTGTAGCCTGTTTAATAAACCTGCTTCATTACAGAAATCCTTCATTCTCCTCTACCAGAGTACTACATCAACTTGCTTTACCATATCCATGGAGACTGCTTCACTTGATGTAAAGACGTGTATTAAAAACAAAATAGGTTTCAGCAGACTACTTCCCATATAGGTAGTCAAAACAGCTACAGCTGGAGCAAACAGTACCCTCTCCTTTGACAGGCAAGACCAGCCTGTCTAATTTTAATTAGATTGGATATATATTTATTTTTTTAAATCTCTATTATTGGTACACTAAGGACTGGAATGCTTAATCTATCATCTAGTATTCACTAAGGGCAAGTCTACACTACAAAATTAAGTCAACCTAAATTATGCTGACATGTAGTCACCGCAGTAATTGAATCAGTTTAATATGGCCACACTACGTTCCTTGGGTCAGTGGTGCATGTCCTCACCAGACACTCTTGCACCCATTTAACTGCCAGTTCCTGTGTTCTTCAGATCAGTTAAGGCACACTAAGAGAGCAACATGAAACTTGTACAGCCACTGCTCATTTTGTATCTATTGTGTCTTGTGACTAGTTAGGCTGACAATTCAATCCTTAGAATTACATTTATTTTTTAATAAGTACTTACTTGAATCGTGCAGGTGAAAGTGGAGTCGGAGGAAACATTCCTGGTTCAAAGGAATCAAAATAAGTCACTGTCCAAGAAAAGCTGCAGCATGAGAGCCCTGTCATCAAGGCTAGAACGAACAGACCCCAAAATCCTTCACGGGGGATAAAGAAAAGTTTCTATAAGTATAACACTAAATTTGAGAAGATTTTCCACAGAACACAGCTTTGCAATATAGCATAAGTGTTCTACATCCCTGAAACAAAATGGTATATTTCTAGTTTCTTTTTTATCTTAACCATATACCATTTAGAGAGACAAGGTGGGTGAGGTAATATCTTTTATTAGACCAACTTCTGTTGCTGTGAGAGAGACAAGCTTTTGAGCTTACACGGAGCTCTTCACCTGAGCAACAGCTCTGTGTAAGCTCAAAAGCTTGTCTCTCTCACAGCAGAACTGACCAAAAACCTTTGCAAAAGTTAAAGTTATGTGATTTAAACGGAATCTAAAATTGCTCTATGTATTTAAGACTAGCTCCAGGCTTTAGACCCTGCTGAAGCCCATAAAGTCTTGTTCAGAATTATGGCACATTTCAGAGTTACGAATAATCTCCATTCCCAGAGTATTCATAACTCTTGAGGTTCTACTGTATGGCCATTCTTATGTTATGTTTAGGGCCCTTCCAAATTCACGGAGCATGAAATCTGGTCTTTTGTGTGCTTTAACCCTATACTATGCAGATTTCACCGGGGAGACCAGCATTTCTCAAATTGGGGATTATGACCCAAAAAGAAGTTGGGGGGTGTCACAAAGTTATTTTAGGGTATTGCTACCCTTACTTCTGTGCTGCTTTCAGAGCTGGGTGGCCACAGAGTGATGGCGGCTGAGGGCCCAGCTCTGCAGGCAACAGCGCAGAAGTAGGGGTCGCAGTACCACAATGCCCCACCCCTCAATAACCGTACAACCCTCCTCCCACCCCCCACAACTGCTTTTTGGGTCAGGACCCCATCAATTACAACACAGTAAAATTTCAGGTTTAAATAGCTGAAATCATGAAAATCCCATAGCCATGAAATTGAACAAAATGGAACTTGAATTTGGCAGGGGTCTAGTTATGTTCTTAAGACTAAAGGACAAGGCACATGCATTCACTGCAAATCATTTTCAGTTAGTTATGACAGTAAATGCTCAACTTCCTCTCCTTACATCACCGACATTTTTAAATCAAGACAATATAACTTTCTCTGAGGAAAGTATCTACCAAATGTGAAAGAGCCAGTTGTGTGTTACCATAGAACAAATAAAACCGGCAGCTTTTTCATGCTTAGATTTCAGCCTTGGGGAATTATAAAAAAAACCAAACAAAAAAACAAACAAACACAACTCCCCTTCTACCTATGAGATAACGAATGTAAAATAATTTCTTCCATATTCCTATTTTTACAAATAATAAATGCAGAGAAATATGTGCTTAACATAAAAGTTCCATGTGAGCTCTACATGGATTGGGTTCTGGCTAGTCAAGGCACTCTCAATCACCTGCTACCAGTTATCCTCAGGAGAAGCCATCAAGTAGACATGCCGTAGCAATAAATGAACTGAGTGACAAGCTCCCCCGTTGTCCAAAGAACCTGAGCGTTTACTCAATATGGCTTTTATTTAAGACAAGGTGATTTTTAGCCTCCTTTAAGCTGCAGAAGCCCTGAAAGAAGCATATGAATGCATACCTAACAAGCCAGTTTCTATACCATCTTCATTCTTCTCTTTCTCAGAGCGCAAATCTACAGAGAGAGAAATCGGTTATGAAGCGTTTTCTAACAGCAATTGCAGAAAACACCAGCAGGTGCTCACTGTGCCTCGTCTACCCCGCAAAGGGGATGGCCATCAGCGCTGGTTCTCCGAGTAGTCTGTCCTTAAAGAGGGCTGCAGAAACAGAAGTTACCTGTATCCCAAAGCGACACACCGCCAGGCCCGCGCCCTGCGCCCCGCGCCCCGGCAGCCGCAGCGCTGGGCTCGGACTGGCGAAACCTGGGTTCAATCCCCCCCCTCACAGAAACCACCTCCTCAGTGGCCGGGGAAAGACATCCCGGGGCTCCGCTTCCCGGCTGCGAGCGGGACCGATCCTCCGCCAGGGCGGGGACCGCGGGCAAAAGGGGTCCCCTCACCTTTGAGCACGAGGCAACCGATGGCCAGGAGGAAGGCGAGGGCGGAGACGGCCAGCAGGCAGCACAGCACCGAGCAGGCCCGGGCCGGCCAATGTTTCCCTCCCGGCGGAGCCATCAACACGCCATTCCGCTTGTGAGACAGCGGCGGCAACGGGGCCCCGCCCTGGGACACAGAGACACCGCTCGCTGCCTCCTCCTCCTCCTCCTCCTCCTCCTCCCACAGCAGCTCGGCCTGCAGACTCCGAGCCACCACGCCGCCCCCCAGCCAGGGCGTCCCGGGGGTCGCCCCCCGCCTGCTGAACCTGCCCAGCCGCCCGCTGTCGCCCACAGCCAACGACATGGCGCAGCCTGCGAGCCGCCCGGCCGGGAGGCGCGGAACACCGGCCACAGGCTCAGAGTCAGCCCGAGGCGCGGTTGCCCAAGCTGTCGCCTACTCCTCCTGCGTCACGAGGCACCTACCAACCCGACCGCCCGGAGGGGCGGATAGGAGAGACTAGAAGGAACTACTGACCCGGAACAGAAAAGACTGAACACGGCATGTACCAACTCATATCGTTGAACGGGAAGACAAGATAACGTCTGTAACAAGGCCCCTACCAACTCGCACTCGAAGGGTGGTTGAGGACGGCGCACGAGTATCACTGATAGCAGACTATAAGGAAAGCGTGCTTCTCGCCCCCCTCCTTAGGTGTCAGTGGTTCCTTCTAGCTTCCTTAGCCCCGCCTGCATCGCCCACGTGACCCCTTTCCCAGCGTTCCCTCCACTCATCCCCCCCGCCGCCGCTGCTTCTTCCCCCTCGCGAGCTCCAGAGCCTAACGCGAGCAACCCTCGCGCGCCCTCTCCCCCGGTGAGCGACGGCCCCCAGCGCGCTCGACCGCCCTTTCTTTCCCCTTCCTCTAGCGGTGCGCGTCCCCTCGTCTGGTGCGGCCCCCTTCGCGCGCCCGATTCCGGCGCGACCCCTTTCTCTCCCGCTCCCCGCGGCGCGGGGCCTCTTTAGGCGCCCGATCTCGGCCAGGGTCTCCTCGTTCCTGCCTGCCGGACACCGCTAACGGTTTCGTGTACGGCTTCCGGGGGAGACTCCGCACGTCCATCCGTGTGCCGGGCTGGGCCGGGGGTCGCGATGTCGGGCGGGGACTCGGCGGCTGCCGCGGCCTCCCCTCAGCCGCTCCCCTTCTCCTTGCCGAAGCCCCCTCCCCTCATGCAGCTGACGCCGGGGGACGCCGTCCGCCCCGTTGCCTCCGCTACGGACCAATCGCCGAAGAGTTCCCGGTTGGGAGGCCGCCCGGATTGGCCGGGTGGGAAGCCTGTCAGCCTCCTGGCCCCACTGCTCCCGCCCCGCGGGGAGCCTGAGCCTCTGATGCCCTTTGGCCCCTCGTCGCGGCAGCAACTTAGAGGGAGGCTTCTTGGCAGGTGTGGCGGGGGGAGCCTCCTGAACCCCTCGATGAGGCCGGGCGGAGTGGATAGAGGATCCCTCATGGTAAGTGAAGGGTTAAACGCTGCAGAGGGGAGGGGGTGGGGACCTGCATGGCAGCGTCGCGGAGGGGAGGAGGGAGATGGCTCCCGGCTGCATCCTGGAGGGGGCACCTCTGTGGGCGTGTAACACCATGGGAGCAGCTCTGCTCGCTTTCCTGGGAGCCTGGGCTAGAGCCTGAAGGGAACCCAGAACAGCAGGAGCCTGGCGGCATCCCCTCGACCCTTTCTTAGAAGCTCCTTCAGGGGAGTTACAGAGTCAGCTACAGTAGGAATAGTGAAGCGTGAGCCATGCACATGAGGACACTAATGCATCTCTAATGGCTCCTGCTGGAGAGAGGGGTTCCCTGTCGTTTTGTGGGCTGGCTTGTTCTCCCACTGAGCTCCTCTTAGACTGTAAGCTCTTTGGGGCAGGGACTCCAGCACTTCGTTTTGTGAAAAATGCCGCATGCATGGTGACCAAGGATTATAGTAACTTCTGAACTACTATATGGAAAATTGTGATTATCAGGAATTGAAAATCCTAGTGGCTAATGATCTAGAATCTGCTGTAGTTTTGGCCAAGTATATATATGGGGGGGGGGGTGTAAAAATCTTTCTTCTTCAAGGCACCAGGTGACCATATAAAGATCTGAAGCCTCAGATAGCACTAACACTGCAGATAAATACTATCTATTATTGGAAAGCTGGGAATCCTTGACAAATTGTGAAATGTTGCAAATTCAAATCACACTTCTCTTATTATCCTTTGCTTTTATTACACTCGAAATTCAAAATATTAGTGACTGCTTTCTCAATAAACACTACAGCTAGAAACCATTATTTTGTATATCTGCAAGCTGAAATCCAAACTTTCAGTTAATATTTTCATTTTACAATACCAATTGATGTTATATTGGTAGCTAAGATAATGTTGGTATATTGAAAAAGGGAAATTTTTGCAGGATAGTCATCACTTATCTAAATAATTTTTCAGTATTTTAAAACCTTTCATATTTCCATAAGCCATAGCTTTCCCCATTAAAGAGGATCTGCAAGGACCCATTGAAATTAAAGTACAAAAATAATGGAGAAACTGTCTGGTTATTCTTTCAATTTAACCAGTGTCTTCAATATTATGGAAGGAAGGAATCACAGTGGAGATGTCTCTTTATTTGTTTTATGTAACTAAAAAGAGATTTTTAAAGTTACCTTCCACTGCCAAAAATACTGAAAACTACTATTTTAATTATTAGATGTCACTTCTGCTTTAAAGCCAAAATAACTATGGTGGATCAGTACAAGATCAATCTTTTAAAATGTACTTCTATGATAAGATGGAGAAAATTTGATCACTGACCATATTCTGATCTATTTCTCTGTCTATTCTACTTTCTTTTAAGATTTTGAGTTTATCAGTTGTTTACTTGTTACTTTGACATCTTTTGATGAACATGCTAATAATTTGATGGATAAATCACTATGGAGGAAAGTGCCCTGTACAAAGTCAATTCCATACTGTTTCACATTCTTGTAGATCACAATTCTCTCCTCACCCTGGGTCTCCTAGTGCCAGTAGTATTTATCTTAATAAAATTATTAAATCTGTTCTTATCAGTTTACCTTGCAAAGTATAGATTCAGCAGTAGGTTATTTTTTCCACTGTTTTTTTAGTAGAACTAATCTTCCTTTAGAACTATTGTTTGTTCTAAAAAGAAAAGTGTTTTTGGCCATAAAAAGTTTAATGTATGATATAGATGTTTGTAGAAAAGATATAGAGAAAATTTTCTGGAGCCAATCTACAAGCAGCAGCATTGACATTACAGTAAATGTAGGAAGGAGAAGGTCCATTTCTGTTTCCCTGCCTGTGTGTACTTCCATTAAGCATAGTCAGATGGAATGGCATATGAAAATATTTGCATCTATAGGTGTATTAGGCCTTTGTGTTATGTTTAAACATTGAGGGAGTTTTCCAGGTTTTTTTTTCCTCTGTATTCTACTGGAATTTTTAAGTACATTTGCTAACTTCATATATATTAACGATTGTTGACCATCTTTAGTTGTCCGCTCTTCTAGAGTGTGGTCCGTTTTAGAGCTATGTCATGAACATATAAGCATTTTGATGTAGCTAATTTTCTGTGTATTTTCCTTCATCCATCAGAAGATAAGATAGATAAGTGACCAAATTCCTTCTGTAATGGAATGTTTATCATGCACCTATTTTTTTTTTTTTTTTGTTACATTTCCACAGTTTGTGCTTTGGGTGCTTTGATGTTAATATCTTCGTTTATTAACATTGTTTTTCAGATGGGGCATCCAGGCATGCCGCATTATCCACCTATGGGAATGCACCCGATGGGCCAGAGGCCACCGAACATGCCACCGGTTCCACATGGAATGATGCCTCAGATGATGCCTCCAATGGGAGGACCACCAATGGGGCAGGTAAGGCAGCTTATCTGTGTCTTCCCCTCCTCCTCGTCCCCCCCCCCCCCCCAAATGATCTGAGAGACAGGTAAGTTTCCCAGAGTTGCTTGGAAATAATAATGTTAATAGTCATTAAAATGTAGTGTTTCTGTAGCATTGTCCATTGGTAATGCAGAAAACACAGTTGTAACAAAAATAATGAAATTGTCTCGTGATTTCAAAATTTAAAATAAAAGGATTCAGTACTTAAATTCACAACTTTTGTTATTGTTAGTTCAGACAGTATTCTATTAGCCTTTCAGGACAAATAAGGTGCGTGTAGCAGTGTGCAGTTCTAAAAACCAAAAATCCTGAAAACAAACAAAAAACTCCCCTTTTAATTCTAGCAAGAGACTGTAGTGTCATAATGTTGAAGCTGCAACATTTCTGTTTCTTTGGCTCTGTGCTAAGAAAGTCTTCTAACCAGAGATAGAAGAAAATTACAGGAGATGGAGGGAAGAAATATAAAATTATTTGGTGCTATTTTACACTTCTGTAACATACTGTTATTTCTGGTCTGTCAACATGATGCATGTCTCGAAAAATAAACTTGGCCACTCAGTGGCATGTATAAAATTTTGTTGGCAAGTAAAGGGGGGCCTAAACTATAACTTTGTGTATTTTGTAAGCTTTCTATTTTTAACAATGAAAGGTCCTGTCGCTTATTAAGTAAGTTCTGAATTTGAAATAGGGCAGTTCCCTTCCTGAATATGCAGAAATCTCTAGTGTTGCTTCTGGTGAACCTGGCTTTCCTAAACAAAAGCAGAGTCAAATTGACAAGACCAAGGGGTGGGAAGTTGCGGGAACACCCTTCCTACGAACATTGTGAGGAAGCTAAAGCAGATTCAAAGTTACAAGACACCTACTAGTCAGAGGCTGGTATGAAAGATGGCGCCTCCTGTGAAAGGTCCAGGGTCAATTCCATGGTAGGAATTCCATCACCCCCCTTCCCAGAGTATTGGGGCAACCCCTGAATCTTAATGACTGGAGGGTGGCTCACCTACCCTATTAGTAGATGTAGGTCTGAAGGATGTCTGGTACATTTTTCACGCTGCAGTACACAGTATGGCAGTCTGTTATATTGGATACATACCTGCTGCAGAAAGTAATGCAGTTTAAAAAGACAAAGGCAGATGGAGGTGGAGTGATGCAATGTGAAACAGAGTGATTAGGTTGATCATAGGTACATGTTTTACCAATTATGAGCGTTTGTGTTTTTTAAAATAATAAACACACTTGTCAATCCCCTTGTCATCTCTTACCCAAAAGTTTTCAGCCAGAGTCCCATTGCCCTTGTGCCCCCTTCATCCATCATCTTACCCCTTCTGTCCATGTAATGAGCAGTTCCCACATAGTGTAATAAATAAAAAAAGTAAGTAGATAACTTAATCAACAAGCTTCTGGCAGACATTGTGGAAGAAAAGGCTACTGAGGGGATGGCAAAGGGAAAGTAAATGAGGGGAGGTTGACTATATGGAAGTTGACTATATTTTATATATATATATATATATATATATATATATAAATGACTATATGGC